AAGAAAACATCTCAAAGATCTTTCCTGTGCTTTTTTCACCCTTCCTTTTGGATAAAAGAAAAGTCAGTGGCGACTCTTGCTAACCGCGACATTTGCGATAAAACGCAAAACCATCAAGTTAGTTCTCCCACCGTATCACAAACCTCATCTTAATTCAACTTATAACATAAGTCACACATGTCATAATTGTCAAATTATGATCTCTTTACTTCATCTTTACTCTTCAAACTTAAACTTGCTAATTCTTGTCTCTTTGTATCATTTCTTTTGTATGATATATGTGCAATCTTCTTCCATGAATTTTGATATTTAAATATGGTTTGTTAAAGCTCATATTCTAATGACTTGTATGATTTAGACCCCCTCTAAACATGTCCCCTCTTCATCTATTCTCTTCTTGATCCTTCTTTTGCTTTAGGGTTGAGTTTGGTGTGGTATTGACCTAGTCTTACGTTAACTTTTGAACATGCTTTAGCAAGGTTGTATTACTGGTCCATAGAATTTTTTAGTACATTAAAATTGTGTGTTTTCTTCTGACTTCACACATACTTGAAACATTACATCATGTTCATCTAATCACACACACACTTGCACTTCACTTTACAATTTTGTTTTGACCTAGTTTGTGTGTTTTGGTGTTTGTACCATGATCTTCCTGTCTAATTGAGTTTTACCTTAATTATTTGGTAATTGTTGAGTGTATAATGTGTCCATATTTACTTTCTCTTATCCACATCACCTATTTCTCCTCACATGTTTGTTTGTGAGCATTGCATGAGGATTTATATCCACTTAGGGTTTCAACCAACATTACTTGTATAATTTGATTGTAAATATTTCTCAAGCTTATATGTATGATGGTGGTGAACATGACATGTATTCACTTTTTACTTGTGTGCTATTTAATTTCCCTCACCTCACTTCACCCTTGCATTCCATTCTTACTTGATTTTCTATCCTTGTTTCCTTATTCTTCCCATTTCTTCAAGTTTGCTTAAGAGAGTTTCATCTCTTGTGTGCTTTATCACATGAATGTTGTGTGAGTTGGATGTGTCATCACATTTATCTTGATTTTTGTCATCTATCTCATATTACTTGATGTATTGTCATCTTAATACATGAATGCATGATGTTTTTTCATCTCATTATTTACTTTATGTTTCATCATCTCATCTTTATATGATGTTTTTCCATCTATGCTTGATGTTTTGTCATCTTTACTTGATGCTTGGTTATTCTTTGTGTAATGTTTTATCATCTCTCTCTCTCTCTTATTTTCTAGCTTCCCCTCATGTTATGTTCCCCATAGTATCTTCAATTCACTCTTTTCTAAGTTTGAATTGAATAGGCCTTAGGACCTCTATCCATGCATGACAACATTAGTTAAATACTTCCCTCTTATCCCAACTATAAGATCAACATTGCATGATAACTTTAGGACTATTTTTTCTAGTCTCCCTTATATTTTTGTATCTCATTAAGGCTAAAACTTTTTCTTTTCTTTTCATCACTCAAAACAGTTAATAACAATAAATGAGAATTACACTCTTTACTAAGTATGAGAAATGATAAGCAGGTTTTTTCTCGATCTTATCATTCTTTCGTTCTTAGTATTTGGTGTGATTCAAATCTCAAATTCTTTTTCAAGGTAAAAAATCTAAACCAATGCAAATCTTTTTGTCTTCGGACTTTTTATTTTAAAACCTTTTCAAAAAAGGACATGCTTCGCTAGCATTGTTCATAAAAAACATTGCAACAAATGGAAACTTTTGAGCTGAACTATGGCGCTCTGATTCCTTAAAAGGGATACATATGCATCTGGTCACGGGGCTCAGCTGAGCGACAACTTTTTAAATATTTCTTTCTTTTCCCCGTGTTTTCTTTTGCATGCATTCCCTCTTTGCATTTTCCCTTTTAGCATTAAGCTTTAGACATAGATTAGATACACCCTTAGATTATGTTGTACCCTAAAATTTTCCCTCTCGTTTTTTCAAGACTTTTCTAACAAGGATTTTCAAAAGTTCAAATTTGCACAAGTACCATTGGATTTTTAATGCCTCGTATAGCTTCCGTGGATCACATTGGGCTTTCAAGCATCAAAATTGGAGAAAAACAAGCTTACTTTGATTCACAAAGCTTCGACTGGACTTTGGCTTCCTTCAAGCTTGCTTCGATTTCCCAAGCTTCGACCGGGATTTAGCCTCCTTCAAGCTTGCTTAGATTTCCCAAGCTTCGACTAGATTTTGG